CATTCATTGCCATTCATCTTGACTTTCAGGACGGAGGTAATTGCCTTCAGAAATTCTGCTTGTGTTGTGCTTGTTGTTGTAGCTTGGTTTAGTTGCGTATAGTTGCAAAGGAAGAGCAACTGTTGTTTTGGTTACATTGTTTTATTATCTTAAATATTTTATTTCAATGTGAAGGGAAGAGAAGGAATGAAGGGAGGATAGAGGAAGTGGAAGAGAGAGAAGGTGGGAGAGGGAGAGGGATAGAGAAAGAGAGAGGGATAGAGAGAGAGAGAGGGGGAGAAAGTGTGTGTGTGTGTGTGTGTGTGTGAGAGAGAGAGAGAGAGAGAGAGAGAGAGAGAGAGAGAGAGAGAGAGAGAGAGAGAGAGAAGAGAGAGAGAGAGAGAGAGAGAGAGAGAGAGAGAGAGAGAGAGAGAGAGAGAGAGAGAGAGAGAGAGAGAGAGAGAGAGAGAGAGAGAGAGAGAGAGAGAGAGAGGAGAGAGAGGAGAGAGAAAGAGAGATAAAGAAAGGAGAGAATGAGAGAGAGAGAGAGAGAGAGAGAGAGAGAGAGAGAGAGAGAGAGAGAGAGAGAGAGAGAGAGAGAGAGAGAGAGAGAGAGAGAGAAAACAGCAAACAAACAAAGAGAAAAATGAACATTGCCTTCAACCAACAAGAAAAAACAAAAACAAAAACAAAACAAAAAAAAAACCGATAGACAAATAGATGCATAAATAGATAGACAGATAAATAGAAGCAAACGAAACACGTGAAGGTGACGAAGCGTAACACCAAGTACAAATGGTAGTCGTTAAGAGCCTGTCTGCAACAATGTATTGCTCGTCCCGCGTGTGTTGCAACGCTCCTCGGCCTGTAAATTGCAAGTGCAGAGTCATTATACGCTATATTCATTATACTCCGTCTTCTGGGTGCGGGAGATGACGGTGATGAAGTTTTTAGACATTATTTATATTTCGTCATGATTGAGTAATTATGATTTTATTTTGAATATTATTTTTGGGTTGGGAACAGGGCGGAGGAGAAAGAAGGGGGGGGATGGGAGGGGGGGATAAAAAGTGGGGTGAGTGAAGAGGGGGAGAGGGGGGGGGGGGAGAGGGAAGAGGGGGAGAGGGGGGGTGGGGAGAGTGAAGAGGGGGAGAAGGGGGTGGGGAGAATGAAGAAGGGGAGAGGGGGGGTGGGGAGAGTGAAATAAGGAAGAGGAAAGTTGGCGAAAGTGATGTGATTAAGAGGGGGGGGGGGGTGATGTGATGGAGTAGGGAGGGTGGGAGAGTGAAGAGGGAGAGAGGGGGAGGGAGGGGGGGGTAAGGATACGTGAGAGAGTGGGGGAGAGTGATGTTAGGGAGAGGGGAGGGGGTGGGGAGAGTGAAGTAGGAGGGGGGATGAGATAAGGATGTAAGATAGAGTGAGGGAGAGTGATGTGAGGGAGAGGGGGGGGGGAGGAGAGGGAAGTGAGGGGAAGGGGGAGAGTGACTGGGGACTAAAGAATGTGATGAAAGGCAAGATAAGTTCGGAGATAATGGGAAAGACGTAGACAGGGAAGTCGAAAATGGAAGAAAACGGAGAAAGGGTGGAGAGGGAGGGACAGAAAATGGAGGAAGAGGATAGGAAACAGATGGAGAGACAGAGACTGGAGGAAAAGGATAAGAAACAGGGAGAGACAGAAACTGGAGGAACAAGATAGGAAACAGAGGGAGAGACAGAGACTGGAGGAGGAGAATAGGAAACAGAGGGAGAGACAGAGACTGGAGGAGGAGAATAAGAAACAGGGAGAGACAGAAACTGGAGGAAGAAGATAGGAAACAGGGAGAGACAGAGATTGGAGGAAGAAGATAGGAAACAGAGGGAGAATAATGTGGGAGAGAGGAAGACAGAAAGTTGGAGGAAGAGAAGTAATCGAGGAGAGACAGTAGTGTGGGTTGGGAGAGGGGAGAGTGTGGAATGAAAGAGAGAATAGGAGAATGAGAGAAGAGCAGAGAGGGAGGGAAGAAGATGAAAAGGAACTGAGTGATGAGAGATGAAGTGGAGGAGGGACTGAGAAGAAGTAAAAAAAGGAGAAAAGGAAAAGAAGGAATAAAAGAAGAGAGGAGTAGGAAAGAGAGGGGAATAGTCGGGGGGGGGGGAGTGGGGATATTGACCCGAGGGGATATTTCGAAAAGCTCTTTGTTTACATGAAATCTGTTTTCATTTTGCTGCTACTGTTGGGCCCGTGTGTATTGTCTCGGATATTTTCATTGGCTATCGCTTAATATTTATTTATCCGTCCTAGTCATATCTTTCGTTATTCTTTAGATTATACATTCGTTTGATTTTTACACGTCTACAGATCCGTCTTATTTACCTAATTTTTTATTCACTAATATCTTGTCTACTTTTCAGTGGCTGTGAATAACTTTTGGGGGGATAACTTACGGTTCAAAAGAAATACCAATAATTATAAAAATGACTTATAAACCACGACTATGTTGATAAATTCCATAATATTCTTATTATCGTCATGAAAAGCGACCTCAAGGGTATTTTATCGTGATTATCAGCAATATTATTATTACATTATCACTATTATAAGCACACACACACACATACACACACACAAACTCACACACACACATACACACATACACACATATACACATATATATGCATATGTATATGCGATGTTGTATAGATCTATTTGACTTTTGTTACTTTGCGCGAAAACAAGGTTACCAGAAAGCTGCGCTCAATATGCAAAAGGCCAATATACACGATTCACTTTTGTGGTGGGAACAATGCCTATTTTTTTCTATGTATATTTTCATTTTTTCTAAGTGGGGGAGGGAAAGAAGGGGAAAGGAGATGGGGAGAGAGAGAGAGTGGGGGGGGGGGGGGTGAACAAACTCTCTGATTAGATCGTATTTTTGTTCTTTATAAAAGTGCTTTAAGTTTATTTGTTTAGTGGACTAGTAGCACTTAATAAAATAACATTTTTTTCTCTCTCCATATCTGTCTGTTTCTGTCTCTCTCTCAATCTCTGTCTCTACATCTCTCTCCCTCTCTACATTTATCTCTCTCTATCTGTCTCTCTGTTTGTCTGTCTGTCTGTTTGTCTGTCTGTCTCTGTCTCTCTTTCCATCTCTGTCTCTACATCTCTCTCTCTCTCTATTTCTCTATATGTCTGTTTCTCTCTGTCTGTCTGTCTGTCTGTCTGTCTGTCTCTCTCTCTCTCTCTCTCTCTCTCTCTCTCTCTCTCTCTCTCTCTCCCTCCCTCCCTCTCTCTCTCTCTCTCTCTCTCTCTCTCTCTCTCTCTCTCTCTCTCTCTCTCTCTCTCTCTCTCTCCCTCTCTCTCTCTCTCTCTCTCTCTCTCTCTCTCTCTCTCTCTCTCTCTTGCAGCCACCCTCTCATAGTGTTTCTACGTTAACCTGGGCACTGAATTTTCCATAACATTTTTTTATGCTGTGAAGTCATCGTAAAAAACAAAACTTATTTTTCTTTAGCATTGAATAACTTAAATATTTTAAGCTATTAAAGAGATAGACAAAGACGAGAAACAAACTTTAACTAAAGAATCATATTTCAAAACACAGTAAAAAGCTATTTCTATAAAGGATGTTTTACTTATTTATTTATATATTTAAATAAAATATATTGTTTAAGTTCACGAGAAAGAAAATGGCAATTGTTTGAGTAATTAAACAGGACCAACTGATGTAAAAAAAACAAACCAAAGCTATTTAATATCCTGTGTTTCATCTCATTTTCTTATCTATTATTTCGTCTAGCAAATTATCATTATTATTATCATCACCATTTTTTAAAAATATTTCTTTAGACATTGCTACACGTGTTTTCTCGCTTTGCTCTTTTTTCCATTTTCTTTTTTTTTTTTTTTTTTTTTCAAAAGGCGAATATCCGGGCGGCGGGGGGAAGGGGAAGGGAGAGAGAGAGAGAGAGAGAGAGAGAGAGAGAGAGAGAGAGAGAGAGAGAGAGAGAGAGAGAGAGAGAGAGAGAGAGAGAGAGAGAGAGAGAGAGAGAGAGAGAGAGAGAGAGAGAGAGAGAGAGAGAGAGAGAGAGAGAGAGAGAGAGAGAGAGAGAGAGAGAGAGAGAGAGAGAGAGAGAGAGAGAGAGAGAGAGAGAGAGAGAGAGAGAGAGAGAGAGAGAGAGAGAGAGAGAGAGAGAGAGAGAGAGAGAGAGAGAGAGAGAGAGAGAGAGAGAGAGAGAGAGAGAGAGAGAGAGAGAGAGAGAGAGAGAGAGAGAGAGAGAGAGAGAGAGAGAGAGAGAGAGAGAGAGAGAGAGAGAGAGAGAGAGAGAGAGAGAGAGAGAGAGAGAGAGAGAGAGAGAGAGAGAGAGAGAGAGAGAGAGAGAGAGAGAGAGAGAGAGAGAGAGAGAGAGAGAGAGAGAGAGAGAGAGAGAGAGAGAGAGAGAGAGAGAGAGAGAGAGAGAGAGAGAGAGAGAGAGAGAGAGAGAGAGAGAGAGAGAGAGAGAGAGAGAGAGAGAGAGAGAGAGAGAGAGAGAGAGAGAGAGAGAGAGAGAGAGAGAGAGAGAGAGAGAGAGAGAGAGAGAGAGAGAGAGAGAGAGAGAGAGAGAGAGAGAGAGAGAGAGAGAGAGAGAGAGAGAGAGAGAGAGAGAGAGAGAGAGAGAGAGAGAGAGAGAGAGAGAGAGAGAGAGAGAGAGAGAGAGAGAGAGAGAGAGAGAGAGAGAGAGAGAGAGAGAGAGAGAGAGAGAGAGAGAGAGAGAGAGAGAGAGAGAGAGAGAGAGAGAGAGAGAGAGAGAGAGAGAGAGAGAGAGAGAGAGAGAGAGAGAGAGAGAGAGAGAGAGAGAGAGAGAGAGAGAGAGAGAGAGAGAGAGAGAGAGAGAGAGAGAGAGAGAGAGAGAGAGAGAGAGAGAGAGAGAGAGAGAGAGAGAGAGAGAGAGAGAGAGAGAGAGAGAGAGAGAGAGAGAGAGAGAGAGAGAGAGAGAGAGAGAGAGAGAGAGAGAGAGAGAGAGAGAGAGAGAGAGAGAGAGAGAGAGAGAGAGAGAGAGAGAGAGAGAGAGAGAGAGAGAGAGAGAGAGAGAGAGAGAGAGAGAGAGAGAGAGAGAGAGAGAGAGAGAGAGAGAGAGAGAGAGAGAGAGAGAGAGAGAGAGAGAGAGAGAGAGAGAGAGAGAGAGAGAGAGAGAGAGAGAGAGAGAGAGAGAGAGAGAGAGAGAGAGAGAGAGAGAGAGAGAGAGAGAGAGAGAGAGAGAGAGAGAGAGAGAGAGAGAGAGAGAGAGAGAGAGAGAGAGAGAGAGAGAGAGAGAGAGAGAGAGAGAGAGAGAGAGAGAGAGAGAGAGAGAGAGAGAGAGAGAGAGAGAGAGAGAGAGAGAGAGAGAGACAGAGAGACGAGAGAGACGATAGAGAGAGGTGAGACGAAGATTCCCCTTATCCCGCCCTCTACTTCCCCTCTCCTTCACACACATCAAAGTTGAGTTAGTTACCACTTTTTGAATGACGTATAACCATTCATTTTACGATTCCCTTAAAAAAAAAATGGTCGTGTTTCCTCATGGATTCTAAAATTTGAAACTGTAGAGAACTATTTGAAATATCAATAATAGTCTTTCCACTTTTAAACTCGAAGTTACATTTCCCACTCTGAATAGGGAGGCAGAATGGGTAAAGAAATTTCTGTTATTTCTGCAGTACTTGTTTCTTTGTTATATTTGTTATGTTTGCATAAGTAGGATTATAAGTATTATATGTATGATAATTTTCTTTACAAACAAACACACATGGACATATACACACTTATACAGTGACAAACATACACACACAGTGACACACACACACACACACACACACACACACACACACACACACACACACACACACACACACACACACACACACACACACACACACACACACACACATGGACACACACACACTCACACACAAACACACACACACACACGAACAAACCAAAAACAAACAAACATTACATGTCGGTT